ATGAAATCGGCTCTTTGTTAATAATGAAATTTGAAAACCTTAAAATCTTTGTTTTTGGCAGCTCTTCAAATAATAAAATAAAATAAGCAATAAAAACAGCTGAATCAATTTAACTTTTTTTAAATTTTCTTCCCTTAAGTCATATCTCGATTTATCAACATAAACGCCAAGACTGAGCCTAGAATGATATATAAGTAACTGAAGAATTAAGCCCCCCAAAGCAAAACTTGATCAGTACTTGGGAAGAAAATTAACCACAGTGATACTGACAGAGTGTTTTACTGTACACCTAAAGACTAAAGCTATTTTGTTTTAAAGTATTTTATCTTTCTTGGTATACTCCGATGCAAGTGGGGGATTAGGTTAGACTTAAAATGTAGTCACATTAGAAAAATACGTGTATCATTTTCTGTTTTAAATCCTGGCAGGCACAGTTATGCACAGTATACCCACGTTGCTGTTGTAGAAAATCACTGTTGTGGGTATAATACATTTGAAATACAGAAAAGTTGCCTGAAAATATCTCAGCAATTATTGAAAAGAACTTGCTAGACCGTTCACACTCGCTTAAAAACTCTAGTAATTCATCTTTCAGTTGCCTGAAAATATCTCAGCAATTATTGAAACGAACTTTCTAAACCGTACACACTCGCTTAAAAACTCTGGCAATTCTTCTTTCCATCCCTTACCCTTCTTTTTCTGCACAGGATGTTACCAACAAACATAGACTGTGTGGACGTAACACACAAATGCAACCTTAACATCACTAGTCAAACTATTAACACTAGATGCTGAATTTAATAACAGTCATTTCCTTACATTACTGATAGTAGTTTTTTTTTTTTTTTTCCTGTAGAAATGTGCAGTTGGGCTTACTTTTAGGTTGGTTGGAGTTTTGGGGTAACTGTCTTCATTCTAGTACCACCTGAACCCTCATGGAAACAGACAGTGTACTTAAGAAGTTCAGGGGCAGAGAATGCAATGTGTAGATGACTTTAAAAGTGCAAGTTGTTCACTGTAACAGGGTCCCTTGGTAAGTTACTTATTCCTACCCATAACATTATCCATAGGATTCCTAATCTTCTATTCTCCTGCACAGGGTCACAGGGGTGTAAATTATTATTATCTGTTAAACACAGCTTATAGGGCAAGAAAGATTTTTAAATCTACACATGCACATCTAGAACCATCAGCCATTGCGGATGACTACAAGGATGGAGGTATCGGAGCTTTGCCCTCCTGACTGGCCTAGCAAAAGCCCAGTTACGCTGTCAAACTGTCTCTCAGAAATAGGTGTGGAAGGATCAAATGATGTGTTTTCTTATTTTACTTTCTATAACATTATTGACTATCTCGGCCCAACTCTAGAAAAACTTGTCAACCTGAATGGAATAAGTTTGAAATGGATTTTAAAAAAACAAAACAAAATACAACTTGTCCCCTCCCCCAAATAGGGAGTGAACACTAAGGACAAAAAGAATAGCAGGTAAGACTATTTTGAAATTTTGTTAGTATTTAGCCATCCACAACAGAGCTTGTCCTTGGTGTTTCATAGACTATTCACGCCTGTTAGGAAACATGATTTCTGCCTTAAACAAGCTTAGTACAAAGGAGAAGAACAAAATAAGTTAAAACTCTGCCATGCAACATAAACCATGAATAAAGTAAGGGCTTTAGTGCTTTTCCTTTTCTTTAAATGCAGAGGTTGCTCTTTATGAAGTGCAGAGGGGAGGTGCCACTTGGCAACCTTTGCAGACTCTTCTTTCATAGCTAACTGTTCTTGGCTCTTTTTTTTTTTTCCCTGTCATTTTGAGACAGGGTTTCACCATGCCATTCAGACTGACCTTAAACTGACTTTGTAGTCCAAGCTGACTTAGAACTCATAGTGATCCTCCTGCTTCAGCCTCCACAGTGCTAGGATTGCAGGTGTGCCCCACCATGCCTGGCACCATTTCTCTGGTTTTGATTGGGCTCACGGTATGGATAACTTCAAGGAAGTGTCTTCCCTGTACATCCATTACACAGTGTGACCAAGTCAAGGATCTCACCTGCCTGGGCCATGGGGTAGAGAGAGACCTTCGTTTGTGTGGTCAGATTTTTTTCCAGAAATTTCAGTGCACCAAAAATACAGTTCTGTTAAGCTCACCAAAGTGCTAAATCTGTGGAAATGGCAGGTAGCATCTTATGGGTAAACTACTTCTCCCCTCCTCCTCTCCACCCCCGCGCAGCAGGCTCCTATTGAATTTGAGGTGTGAACACCTTGATATTTCGCTCTGACTCAACTTTCCGTTCTCATATTTGAGAAGATTTGATAATATCCACCTAGAGGGCTGAAACAAATTGTGCCTGTTTAATAATGAGACTTGAGGTGAAAACAAAACTAACAAAGTATGTTTCTCATATGAAGGAAAACATACTTGAATCCCCTGACGCACAGCTAACTTACGGAACAATTCCTTCATGTCTGGTGCTGTCTTAATTGGGTCTGTTAACCCCCATAACTATCAGCAGCTCACACAGTAAAGGTCGGGAGTATTTCAGACCTGAGAGTTAAGTAATTTGCCCAGAATTGCACCTAGTGAATGGCAGAGACAGGTTTTGAATACCGGTAGTCTGATTCCTATATCTGGTTATTAACTTCCAACGTATTTTGACTCTGAGTGAATTCAGTACCCTGATGTACTTCTATGTAAAATAAGATAGGGTTTACTTGAAGTATAGTGACTGTTATTGGAGGCTATGAACTACATAAAGCAAGATATACCTGTGGAAACTGGTGCTGTAATTTCAGGGTTTTCCCTCTAACTAATGAAGGGCATTTTTTCTGTGAGAGAATTAAGTACCCAATTGTGCAAGGGTTGAAATGTTCACTGAAATCAGGATTACACCCACTTTGGCATGCTGTGTCAAGACCCAAGGTATAAGGAAAGACAAGCAGGCTGGAGTGAATGTTCCGCATTCAGATCTGAACCTCGGCCACGTACGTGCATTAGTTTGCAAATGGCCATTGACACTGTCTTTCTGCGGGTTGAGTTGGTGTTGATTCGTCTAGTGTGTTCGTTAGATTTGGGAAATGATAATTCTAACTGAACTGGGCTCCCTGGCTTAATTTGGATAAAAGGGGCCCCCAGAATGAAGGATAAACCCAACCTCTAACAGCCCACTGGTTTAGGAGCAAACAGCATCCTCTGCTTTTATAGCTAGTCTCAGTTGGGACCTTTGGACCTCCGACAGAGTGTTTGATGTTGCTGTTGTGGAAACTGCGAAGAAACTTGCTGTGTGTTCCCAGTCCTGACTTGGGGGAGGAGGGAAAAAAAGGGGTGCCTGGGATTATCTTTGGGAAAAATCTAGCTTTTATTACATCACCCAAAGTGGCACAACCTGCTACACTAATGAAATCGTGTTCTTGGTTTAAAAGGGCAATTGTTAGCCTGACTTTGCGCTCACTAAAAACAGTCCCCCAACCTTGTTAAGTTATTGCCCTCATTTCAGATTTTTATAGCTGTGCAGCTTACCAGCCCTCATTTCTTTACGTTTCATTCATTTTCCTTGTATTGATGATTAATGGAGGATGTCGAATGTTAGAGTGAGCAGGCATCAGCAATTGCAAGATCATAATTAGTTTAGCTGACGAGGGCCTCTGATAGCACTTGCATCTGGATGGAAAAATTACCCTATAGGGAACTGGCTGCTCACCAGGTCTTTTTAGTGATACATTGTGAAACACCCGATGAATCAAATGCCCTTTCAATGCCAAGAAAGTGTTCCAGTCTTGAAGCCAAAATTATGTCTGCAGAAAGCTTTCCATTTGAAATGTATCAGAGTACAATTATAACCATTGTATTTTCTTGGCAGGCGTACCACTCTGCTACAGTATGGACTCCAGTTAAATAAATTGCCTAAATTTTATGTATCCCTGAAATTTTGACTTATAGCGTTTATAATATTTAATTTATAATAAAATTAGGTTCCAGCAAGACTTTTTCCACTCCTTATCTAACATGCATATTTTATCATTAAAGGCTTTGCTTCCTAGAAAAAGGAAAGCCGAGTCGCAATCTGGGCTGCCTTTTTTTTTTCTTTTGCAGGGAAAGACTTCCATTTCCTGCACGTTTGCATGTGTGCTGCAAATACAGCCCGACTTTTGTGTAAATGAGAAGTTTACTAGGATCATTACTTGAGAGCAAGAATATAACCAGTGCTACTAATTATCTACTTTCAAATACTTTTATTTTTCAGTCCAATGATTGTAGAATTCAAGCTACTAAAAGCAATCTGTATTTGGAAATGCTTGAGATTTCCAAGTCTTAAGTCAAATAAAATAAATAAATAGCCGCTGATGGGACAGAACTGTCTAGCTCAGAAGGCACCGTACGCGCTCTCAGTAATACTGTACTCCTGGCAGACGTCCCTCCCAATCCGCCCAGCACTGGGGAATAGAGGGTGTTTCTCTTTCACATTTTAGCAGTTACAGAGGAAAGCCCAGAATCAAGCGTGTGATGGTCTCAGTGCTTAAGTTACATGAATAACACACAAAAAGACACAAATTGGGTTTACTTTTCAGTAGGTTTTTTTGTTGTTGCTGTTTTTTGTTCCAAGCTTGACCATATTTTAAGACTCAGGTAGCATGTCCCAAAGTGTGTTAAACACATTGCCACGTTCTGTCTTCTTTACTCTTGTTTTGACACTTTTAAAAGGTATATTTTAAAGTTCAGCATTTTGGAGTCGTCATTAAAGGCACACAACCCAAAGTTCAAAAAGTTAAAGCTGCTCCTGTGAAAAGCCTTTGGTGTTCCACACACCTCATCCATCACTGCAGGGTTAATTATAATGAAAATCAGCGGTGCCTATTAGACACAATTGAACCTGACCTCATTATGGGCAGTGTGGTTTTATACTGTCATTGTTGCAAGTCTAAAGACAAAACTCCTGGGTTGATTTGGTCTAACTCCACCGATCATGTGACTCACCTCTGACCTTGGTTTTCTCCCCCATTTCAGAGGCGTAGAGGCTCTGGTGTTTTTTGTGCCAATTGCCTGACCACGAAGACCTCTCTCTGGCGAAAGAATGCAAATGGCGGATATGTATGCAACGCGTGTGGCCTATACCAGAAGCTGCACTCGGTAAGAATTTGTCCCGCTGTTTCAGGAAAAGCTTTAAAAAGTCGAGCTGGCCTGCTTGGTGGTGTGGTAAGTCCCACTGCTGGCTCGGGTCTCCTGCCCCTGCGGGGTCGTTCAATACAGTCACTTTGAATGTCCCTGTGATTTATGGTAGAAGGGCCTTAGATGTTAGGAGGAGATATATTTGAGATCATTAGTAATGCATTATGCCTCTTTTGATGTAAAAGAGGAAAATGATTTTGGGGAACTTCACCTAGGAGATAGTGGACCTAGTGGTTATTGGAATTTGGTGCAGTGAATTTAGGTAGAAGGGGAAAACCTCCTTGAAAGTTTCACAGATGTACCAAAGTTTAAAAAAAATAAAATAAAGGGAGTCTCCAGGATTGATACGAAAATATACGACGGGGAATGAATCCAGTTTGCCTTTGGATGTGCTAGTGCTCTCTTGGCTGTTTGGGAGCTGGAGGCCAGGTGCTCTCAGAAGCATAGCTCAGGACTAGGACAGACATTGCTACAACAGGCAGCGGCCGCAGTGGGGATTTGGTGAGGACTCAGTAGTTCTCAATAGCACAAACACCAAGGTAGGCTAAGCTGCAAAGTGTGTTGTGCTTTTGATCTCCAGCTGTTTGGGCTCATGGGGATCCACCAAATTACTTGTTTTCCAACTTTTAGTTAGAATTCTGTAATACAATTTAAACTGGCAAACCCCCCATCTGCATATTCATTTGACTTCCGGAAGGATTCTTTATAGTTTAGAAAGTTTATCTGCTGACATGAGCTGACTTTAAAATAGGTATGCCCCATTTAGTAAACAGAAATCTATTTGCCTCTGCCTTTTTCATTTTCTTTGGCATTTTACCACAGCTCTTAGCATAAGCCAGTGAATAGATTACAGCCACGGGGAATACAGCTTTAGACAAAACGCCCTCGTAAATGGACCATTGGAAGCACTCTTTAAAAAATGCATGCTGCCAACAATACTAATTGGGAGTAAACACTAAAAAACTTAGTTATTAGAATGTAGCTAGTAGAAAGATCCCTCCCCCCGCCACCATGTACACTGTCTGTCAACCTTCACCATGTATGCACATTTATGCACAGCTTTCACTTAATGAGTACTAATAGTAATTTCTGTAATTGGATTCTGGCCAATCATAGGCTAAGAATTAATTAAATTACTGCTCTGCCAAAGTATGATAATTTAACCACTGTGATATAAACTATTTTCTAAAACTTACTTTAATGTTCATCTCTCCAGAGGCAAGATGTTTTCAGTTTTGAGTCTTTACAAACCATACATTGAGACACATATAGGCTATGCTCACGCGGAATTGCAGCAAAAGTTGTGCAAGTTTAAGAAAAGGAATTAATGCATATTACAGGTTTCTTTATTGTATGGGAATACAATCTACAATACTACATATCCTTATAATGCTAATACAGTCTATAAACCAAAACATTCTGGAAAAAATGATTACACATGGCATATCCAAGCCACATGTCATTTTTCATTCTGAAACCAGTAATTTAATTGTAACATCAGTGTGTTATCTTCCTTTGCTTCAAAATAACTTGTCACAACAGAAATCTTCCAAAAGAGATTTATATCTGCATTTTGTTTAATATATAAAAATACTCCTTTGTAAAGTGTCCTTCTTCAGAATAATTCACAAATTACATGTTATCTATATTTTTTTTAGAAATTATTTCCTGATTTCAATATTCTTTTAGAGAAATGACTTTAGTACACTTGGAGATACTCGTAAACTTTTAATGTTTAAATATGCATTGATTGAAATTATTCTTTTGATTTTATGAATCAAAGTGAAAACTCTCCCTGCAAGTAAAGTTTTTATTATAGTCTTATCCATGGATTTTAGTCATGTAATATAAACACCTGTTGAACGTGTACATAAATACCAATCATGTAATGTCTAAGCTAAATAAAATACTTAAGCTAAATTAAACTCAGCATTTATTTTAAGTAGGCTAGAATGACAGATTGGATATTTGAACCAGGCTACAAATGAATTTAGATTTTCAACATAAAACTAATACTTCACCCGTTAACAAGTAAAATCTTCCAGATTGAATAGGTAAATATCACTAAAGGAAGAGAAAGAAAAGAGGAAAAAAAAAATCCTTCTGACGTGGCTTTGATTATCTGATGTGTTTCCTGACAATTCTGTCAGTTTGTCTTTGTTTGTGCTCTGATATGAATATTCTGTGTTCACATTTGCAGTTCCTTAAAGAGATGCATGCATTAGTCAGTTTAAACTGCCATAACCAAACCATAGACTGATTGTGTCAAAACAACAGAACGTATCTTCCCACGATTCTGGAAGCCGGAAGCCCTGGAATCCAGATGGCTGGCTTCTGGTAAAGGCTTCTTCCAGGCTTAGATAGCTACCTTCTTGGTGGATGGAGAGAGGGCTCTCCCTGTTCATCTTAAAAGGCCATAGTCCTGCTGGACTGGGGATCCACCGCTCTGATCTTACGTTACCTTAGTTACCTCCTAAAGACTGTTTCTAGGTACATCCACTCTCATGTTAGAACAAACATGTGGAACAGCATGGGGTGCAGTTTGCTCCACCGAGATGTGTACCTATCTCCCCGTGGATTGCCATCATTTTAGTGGATAAGTCAAAATTCAGAACTAGTTTAGGGAAATCATACTTTTCCAAGTAACTTTCTATGGTGCAACGACAGAATCTGATGAATCTGGAAAAGCTGCTTTCAAGTGCATTAAAGTTTTCTGTCCCCCCTGCAAAGATGGGCATGATTTAATTAGGCGAAAATAGTGCACTTTGGTTACTTCCTTTGCTGCTGCTTAGGGCGAAAGGAGGAGATTTAGTAAATCTACAGCATAAACCCTATCCTTGCTTTGAACTGCAGCATGGTTTATATTTGGGAGGAATTTTTAATGCATTTTAATGTATTTTTTAATGTTTTCCTTTTATGTATTGTGTGTGTTCTCTGCAGACTCCCAGGCCTTTAAACATCATTAAACAAAACAACGGTGAGCAGATTATTAGGAGAAGAACCAGAAAGCGCCTTAACCCAGAGGCACTGCAGGCCGAGCAGCTCAGCAAACAGCAGAGGGGCAGCAGTGAGGAGCAGGTCAATGGAAGCCCATTAGAGAGGAGGTCAGAAGAGCATTTAACTGAGAGCCATCCGAGAGAAATTCCGCTCCCAAGCCTAAGTAAATACGAAGCCCAGGGTTCATTGACTAAAAGCCATTCTGCTCAGCAGCCAGTCCTGGTCAGCCAAACTCTGGATATTCACAAAAGGATGCAACCTTTGCACATTCAGATTAAAAGTCCTCAGGAAAGTACTGGAGATCCAGGAAACAGTTCCTCTGTGTCTGAAGGGAAAGGAAGCTCTGAGAGAGGCAGTCCCATAGAGAAGTATATGAGACCTGCAAAACACCCAAATTATTCACCACCAGGCAGCCCTATTGAAAAGTACCAGTACCCGCTTTTTGGACTTCCCTTTGTACATAATGACTTCCAGAGTGAAGCTGATTGGCTGCGGTTCTGGAGTAAATATAAGCTCTCCGTTCCTGGGAATCCGCACTACTTGAGTCACGTGCCTGGCCTACCAAATCCTTGCCAAAACTATGTGCCTTATCCCACCTTCAATCTGCCTCCTCATTTTTCAGCTGTTGGATCAGACAATGACATTCCTCTAGATTTGGCGATCAAGCATTCCAGACCTGGGCCAACTGCAAATGGTGCCTCCAAGGAGAAAACAAAGGCACCGCCCAATGTAAAAAATGAAGGTCCTTTGAATGTAGTAAAAACAGAGAAAGTTGACAGAAGTACTCAAGATGAGCTTTCAACAAAATGTGTGCACTGCGGCATTGTCTTTCTGGATGAAGTGATGTATGCTTTGCATATGAGTTGCCATGGTGACAGTGGACCTTTCCAGTGCAGCATATGCCAGCATCTTTGCACGGACAAATACGACTTCACAACGCACATCCAGAGGGGCCTGCATAGGAACAATGCACAAGTGGAAAAAAATGGAAAACCTAAAGAGTAAAACCTTAGCACTTAGCACAATTAAATAGAAATAGGGTTTCTTGATGGGAATTCACTAGCTTGTAATGTCTTATGAAGACCTATTAAAAAAATACTTCATAGAGCCTGCCTTATCCAACATGAAATTCCCTTCTTTTACTCTTCTTTCTTTTGATGAGTAGGTTACCAAGATTTAAAAATGAGACAGGTGGTCAGTGAGAAAGAATGGAAGGTGGTAAACAATCATTTTTTAACACTTAGCGAATCAGAGCTATCTTGGCCATATGTCCTGGGGAAAACGTTCCATACAAAGTCCCACCAGATTATAACTATGCTTCTGTACAAGGAATAAAAAATGTCTAGAATCTGAAAGGGTTTACATAGATAGTACGATACAAAAGCAGTATTGGCTTGGCCAGTGGCCCATTTGTTCAAAAACTCAGACGTTGTGTCCTACATTTAGAAATATCAAGAAATCCAACACAAAGGAGGAAAAATTGAATCTTGAGGGTGAGGGAAGGAAAATGGTGCCCTCTCCCATCAGTCTCCTCTCAGTGGCCATGTTTCAGATTTGGACCTAGAAATGCGGAACTCTGGTTAGGCTTGGTGAGAGAGCAGCAAGAAACGTGACAGATGGGTGGCACGATGGTTTCAGCCAGCCCTGCCTGTACATACACATGCACACCCTCCTTGATATTATCGTCCTCTAGATGTTCAAATAGTCTGTAGTCCTTTCGTTTGCAGTTTAGGTTCATTTTGTCCAAATATATTCCTATTTAAAAAAAAAAAAAAAACAATGTCCTCGATGCTTACGTAGTAATTTTATTTTAGCCAGATACTTCTTTCTTGTTTATGACGAACAAGTTTGGATTTTTTTTTTTTTTTTTTTTTGCCTCCTGTCGGTCACTAATCTCACTCGGCACATTATGACTAAAGAAATCCCCTCAGTTCAAAAAGAATAGGTGGATGCAGATGTCACACTGAGGGTTTAATTTGCTTAGAATACATGATCTTTCTCCACAAGGTAACCTGCTGTATTTATTTATTTTCCTTTGGTTAAATATAATGTCCAAACTTTGTGGTCAGGCAGCGTCTAAGGTTACATTACCACAGACTGACAGTTAGTATATGTACCAATCAATCCCTTCATTAGATTATGCAGGTTTAGGTAAGTAGCATTAAATAGGATTCTTAGAAGTATGTCTTCATAGTACTTTTAATACTTAAGGCTTTGTAAAAACTATCCATGAAGGGAAAGCTCCTCAGCATAACTGCTCAGGGAAATAGGGCTACATAACTGAACATTAAATAATTGGTTAAAGGTGCTGTTAGTCGAGCCTCAATGCTTGCTACAAGGATGTATGTACAAGGACTGACTTTAATAATTTGCATTATATTGTCCCAACCAGTAGTTTATTTTTTGCCACGGAGATGTAGAAGATATTACAAGCTACTGGATGCACTGTCAGATTAACTTATTTCATTAAAGAAGTTGGGAGAACAAATAGGAAAAAAAAAAACTTATTTTTCTAGTAAATATTAATGTATTACATTTCAAATAATGGTGCCTGACATATTGAATAAATATTTTCTACAGTGTACGTATGCAACAAAGATATTCCATCACACATTGGAGTCAGTTCTGGCTCTGCCTAGCTGTTTACATTTGCAAATGTAGCAAACAAGGTAATGAAGCAACTATTTCTATTGCAGTAGATATCTTTTTGTGTGTGTGTGTGTGTGTATGTGTGTGTGCATTAAAGTTGTAAACGGTAACATGAAAGTTCTTGATATAATGGTATGGAAAACAAGAAAGAAATGAAAATATTTTTATGCCTACTTAGGAAAAAAAAGGGTAGCACTATTCATTCCAAGTACTTTTTTTTTTAATTTTTAAGCTCTTAACTCACATTGTTATGCTTAAGATGATAAACATATATCCTCTTTTTATTGCTTTGTCTATGTTTCAGAGGAAACATTTCAGAAATTATTTTGATGAGTGTTGCTGGAATCCGCAGCACTGATGTTTTATTGCATTCTGTAGTGGCGTTTGCACTCCGTTTTGACGTTAATTTGCAGTTGCTTTGTATTGTTTCGTTTTGTTTGGGTTTTGTTTCTTTCTCACAGTGCCCGTCTCTGTTTCTTTAAAGTTGGATGGCAGGTAGAGTTCAATCAGTTCCTGACTGTTGTAGGGGAATGAAGTTAAAAATACCTTTCTGATATTGTGTTGTCATTTCCATTCTTGCATTTTCATTTTTCCTGAACAAAGAAAAAAGAAAAAAAAAAAAAGAATGAGAGAAAGAAATCAGGACTAAGTCCTCTGCGTCAGTTTTGTTGTGAAAGGGCCTATTCTGATCTCATCTGTCGCATAGCTCTAATATTCACATCATCGGAAACCAAGAGGCAGGAGGAGCTTTGACGTCCAAGTGATTTGACAGAATTTATCTTTCTTAGGAATTTTGATGTAAACAGACAGATCTGAGAGGTGACCAAGATCTTTTACAGAGATTTCCCAAACAACAATAATTGGTTTCCTTATTTAAAAAGAATATAAAAATGCAACGTAGCAATCCTCGAGCAACATGATATATAGACGGCTTAAATCAGTAGTAAGCAGATGAACCTGAGCACGGGAGACGAAGGGGCCGGTAACACCAGAAGTTTGTTTAACTTGGGCAATATTACAGGTATTACTTTTTGGGCAAAACTACTCTTCAGCAGTTCCCACATTGTGTCAGTCACAAATAGATTGTTCATTGTTGACATGTATGCCTTTGTTTTTCATTCTTTTTCTTTCTTTCTTTCTTTCTTTCTTTCTTTCTTTCTTTCTTTCTTTCTTTCTTAAACAGGCATCGTAGTAATGAGCATTGGAAAATACATATCACTTTTTTGGGAATATTTATGTTCAGTCTACTTTCAGTAGAATATTCTTTGATAGCATTGGCATGATAGATCTTACTCTGTACTCCTTTATTATTAATATTTTATTTTCATTTTTGCTTTCATTAGTATACATATTCTGGTGGAAAAGAAGTCGGGCTTTTTAAAAAGAATGAAAGGTTATCATAACACTAAAATACTCCTTATTTTGATGAAGTTAAGGCCGTTGTTCCATCTTGCAAAATGTATTGTACAAATGTTTTCTATTTAAGAGTTCAGAATCATTTTGTCTTCGATTGTGAATGATTTTAAATGAGCTACTTAGGTACTTAACCTTTTTCTTAAGAACTTTCAAGATGATTTAGAAATGTTCCCCTCTTGGAAAAAGCTTCCCTTTGTCCTGTGATGAATATTATAAGCCAGCTAAAACTGTATGCCACATAAAACCTGCAGGTCTTTTCCAATTACTTGTCTATATTCTAAGTTGAGCTTTGGCTCAAACGTAAGGCCAGGACCAGTTCATGCATTCTTCCTCTTCTTTTTCTCACTCTTTTCTCATCATCGCTTACCCAGATCTACATGTGAGTTGTTGGGGGATAGAAAACCTTAAAGGGCCAGCCCATCTTGGAGATGGTGGATTGAGAGACACTACACCGCACTAAGCAGGGGAGAGAAAGGTGGAGCTCTCTGTAGCTAAGAAGGCAAAGAGTGAGGCCAGTTCTCTCTACGTGACATATCTGAGATGTTCTTTTAAAACTCCACTTTGAAGATAGTGGTGTTCTGTTCTGTTCTAAATTGTTCTGTTTTAGTAAAGATAGATTTTAGGCAACAAGCGTGGGGATTCTTTTCTAAGGTCATACTAATGAGAAGAACAGAAAGAAGTGGTTATCTTTAAAGAGGTCCTTGTTGAAGCCTGTGGTAGCACATTATGTTCACGATTGCACATGTGCACGGAATCTGTTATGATCCAGTGCAAATACAGCTCCAAAAATATTAAATGGATATATATTTTAAAATGCCTGAGGAAATACGGTTTTCTTAATAAACTGAAGAATATTGGTACTGCTATTCAAATTATTATTAGCCTCGTGTGTGGTTGCAAAAGTCACAGAGCGATCTGTCTTGGAACTTCCAGCTGCCTGCCTGTTTAGCCAATGAATATGAATACATTTCTGTAGGCGGAAATATTTGCTGTCCAGTGTTGGAAATGTGAGATAAAGAAGCCGTTGGTCACACTGTTTCTGTGCTGTATGTAATTCTTTTGGCTAAAGCTGAGATGCGTTCACAGCTACCTGTCTTTGGGTTGAAGGTCATGGCAAAAAAAAATTTAAGAAACGAGCAAACAACTCAAGACATTTTTGGTCAGCAAGACACAGGAGAAAACTTGAGGAATTGAAGTACAACCTGAATCTGAAACTAAATGTACTAATCAAAGGTAGGTACAGTTAGGTGGATGCTAGCAGCAGACAGCTAGCTGATCGTGAATGAGAACAGAAAGATAGGCGTCCCATCTTGGAGGCCGGTGTCATTCTTTCCAAAGAAAGACTTGGCAGAGAACAGGCTGGTGTTTCGGCATTGCACATCCCATTGGCTGTCCATTTCCGGTACAGAGTGATTTCATTTCCGGTAGAGTGATTTCACATGTTCCCAGTAGCAGGGCAGTTGTTTAGGAAACTTCTCCAGTCATTTGCAGTAATTAGAACTTTGGAAGCTACCAGGGCAGAAGTGTTTCAAGTCAGTGATGGAGAAAAATGTGAAACGGAACAGTAATCCATGTGTGAGCACTGGATAGTGTATGTTCCTGTGCTCTCTCAAAAGGAAAAGGGCGCTCTAAGCTTACTCTGTCCTACTTAAGAAAAAAGCGAGAGTACCTCTTACCGTGGACATAGTGCTTAACCTTCATTAGACGAAATGATCTCACAAGACCCATAATTCCCCAGCTGGATCCTGGTTTTACCCCTGGTTACTTCTTCAGTACATAAACTGCAGCAAATCACTTTTTCTTTTTGTGCCTCAGGTTCCTCAACTATAAAGTGGAAAAATATATTAATAATAATAATAGTAATGTAGTACTTGTTTGTAAAGCACTTTGAGATCCTTGGTTGAAAGGCACCATAGGAGTGTCGAGTATTATGTGGCCAAGGGGTTATTTAAAGTTAGTTCCCAAGGGCCAAGAAAGGTTGGGGTCATTTCTGTTAAAGATGAGCTGTAAATATTATAACTAGGCAGCCTATAGTGTTGACTCTACAAAGGCAAAACTGTTACAAGGCTGATAAAAGCATAGTTTATTAATGGCTACCAACAAGGCAAATACCACAATAACCAATGCCAAATCCTTTAGGGTGTACTATTTGACAACAACATTGATAATCTGGGGGGAGGGATGGGTGGGAAACATCTCCAAATGCCAATGTACAATTAACTTACAGCAATATTCACCAGCAGAAAATGTCTTTCATATGGAATGATTTCATGTTGCTAAGAAAAAGAATTCAATTTGTAGTCCTGATTTGAACATTAGAATGTTGGCTATAATAGTTCTGTTCTTACAACACATGGAATTTTTTTGTTTTATTTTATTTTGTTTTTATAGTGCATGTCCATTTCTACTCACAAACATGTTCTTGGTGTATTTCTTATGCAAACAATCTTCAGGCAGCAAAGATGTCTGTTACATCTAAACTTGAATAATAAAGTTTTACCACCAGTTATACACAATGGCGTTGGTATGGTTTATACGGATTCCCTTTCATTCATGTAGCACTAGGAAATACAAAATAGTGTAACATATAGACAGGTTTTGATGAATTCAAATGGTGGGATGAAATCACTTTTTAAAAAATATCACTAAGTCTGATAACGCCTGGATTCTCTTGACTTGTTTTTGCTTTGCACTTTCTTTTTTCCTTTAACCAACCAATCTCTTGATAGATTTTGTGTAAAAAAAAAAAATTATACTCATTTCTTTAGGAAGATTAACACTGAAAATTTATTACACAAATATTTATTGATATCAAATATTGACTTTTGAGTCCTGGGTAGTGACTATGACATATAAAAACTCCTGCTTATGAAACTTGTTTGATTCCATTCAGTATACCCACATGAATATGATACAGAGATTGTGATAAGTCATCTCAAATCTTTTAAATTAATATATCCAATACTTTGTTGGATTAGAATGGAGTCAGAGCAGATCATCCTGTAGGAAAGTTTTGAAAGAGGAGCAAGCAGGTGAAATCCAAATAGGGAAAGAACATTGGAACACTCATTTAAGTGTTTTTAACCAGAAGCAAAATCACGAGAGAACAGGACATAGAGTATACAAATAATTGAATGCATCAGGATCTGTTTGTTGAAAAGTTTCAAAGTAGCACCTACCGTCTGGTACCCACCGTCCTAGCACAACCTGCATTTATCATTCTGGTAAACTGAAATTGATGAACAAATCCTCTGATGTATCTTCTTCTTGTTCCTTGTTCTTTCCCACGTTTTGAAAGTAGAGGAGTGGAGACTTGGAGGGGCTTTCATAAGGGACCAAGTTCATTCCACAACCAGAGGCAACACTGTGTAGATGAGAGTGTAGTAGTGACACTATGATTTTTTTTTCCTTGTATAGGATCTGTTATCTTCCATTAGAGACTTCTTTGCAGATAAAGTGGAATACACGGTGTTCTCCCCCTACACTGTCAGAATGCCGGGAATGGAGAACAACGTGGCCAAGGGCTATTTGGCCTTGCTGGAACAGAAAGAGGGCTGGTCAGCAGACACCATCCCTCCCCTTATGGCCCCCCACCCCAGGGAAGGTGGACAGGGCAGGTGAGGAGCACTCCCCTGCCCAGGGCCTTCCAGGTGGAGACTGCCATGGAGAGGTCATCCCGCCCGTCTCTCTATCTGTAAGGGTGAACTTTGCTCCCAGCAGTATCTGAAAGCAAGAGTGCGAACATGCCTTCCTAGATTTTCAGTTTTCAGGAAAAATTAGACAAAGGAAATTTTATGTGGAATCTATTTTTTAAATGTCAGTAGCTGGCTTTTTTTTTTTTTTTTAACTCCACCGAGCCAACAAAACACTTGTTCAGAATAAATCCCACCACTAGTTTACCACAGTGGACTGACTGTTGGAGCATGAGCAATCGTGAACTCTGGTTAGTAACAGAGAAGAAATTGGGCAGAGTTCTGGGCTGTGCTGGGGCTCCTCTTGGGTTTTGTCTCCAGGCCTGACACATCTTCATCTCCACCAGGAGACCCAGAGAGCCGGGGTTGCACCCCCAGCTGGGTCCCGTTGCAGTCACATTTATTACAGACTAAAAATATTTGAGCAAAAGTGTCCTGTGTCTTTAAGCAGGCCGCAGATTACTTTTTACTTTTGTTCTCTGTCATTCTGACCCCACGTATATTGGTGTGTGTGTGTTCCTAAAGATACTGTCAAATAATGCTCAATTCCCTTATATCACTCTCTATGTCATATTTTAGGGTGAAAATGGAGTAAAAAAGCAGTCAGTGGGGAAGAAGTGACTTTGTTATATTTGATCATAGAAATGAATAATTTCACAAATTTTTAAACAAAATCAGTTGAGGAAAATCTATGGTTTTACATTTCTCTGATACAGTCAAGATGTCCACAATCTGATGATTACTTTCTGTAAATGATACAGTATTTACAAAGGCTATGAATTTTATTAGGCCACCACTGGTTTTTCTCTACCAATTTCTTGCTTAATAACAATGATGAAGTCAGGAAATACTTTTTCTTCGGATAATCCTGAGCTAATAAGGTGATATATATGTATGTATATATATATATGTATATATACACACATACATACATACACTCCCATATATATATAATTGAAAATGTTTGAATTATTTATATTGAAAACAGGTAAAATTCATCCCAATGCATCATTAATTTTAGGAAATGGAAAATATATTTCTCATTTTTAATCACCTTTTTTCAAAAAGATAGCATGCACTTTGGTTATGCTAATACTGCTCCAGGAAGTATACATTCTTAGTTTCTCTAAATGCAATCTTATCAATTCCTAAAGATGCACCTTTAGAAATTCGGAGTTCTACTATTTTTCTTGTGACTCTGGTTCATTTCTGAGTGGGGTAATTCATATTTGTTGAATACTGATTTTGGTTTCAGAACTTTGAAAGGGCACCAGGAGGCAGTTAAATTTTGGTGCCTATTTTTGATGCTTCTATAAATGCGCAATTAAATTATAAGGCTCCTTTGTTGTAAAATTTTTTTTTCATTTGTGGACTTTCTGGAGCTTCAATTATCACATTTAATATCAATTCACAGTTGTCTTTTTTCTCTGCACCTGAAGTTTTTATTTTTTATGAGGTGTATTGCCACAAATTAGATACACATAACAATCACATTCACTATAGGGAATCTGTACATGTACATGATGGATCTCGAGTCCTCTTTTTTTTACAATTCCCCTCCTCTCTCCAACCCCTCCTCCCCTCATTATTTACACTTTGCCGCCATTTTTTCTTTTCCCGTCCTTCCTTCACCCCTCCCTCTTCCCTAGTTCCCCTCTCCTTTTGAACCATTTCTTCCTATTTCACAATATCTATCATATTTTTTTGGTTCTTTCTTACACCTTCAGTTTCACACCTGAGATAATGCAATATTTACACGTGTGTCCCATTTATGTTATTTAAGAGTATGGTTTCAAGGTTCATCCATTTAGCTATAAATAGCTCAAGTTTATGCTTCTTGACAAAAGTTTTGCCTTTACCTTGACTCAACTTTATTAAAATTTTGGGAAAAAAAGTTTCTATTTTTACACATTGACTTTTAAGTGTGAGATAATCTGTATTAAAAAGTCCTCCATATTTGATAACAATTGCAGTGACTCCCAGGAGACACTGAAGGAACCTTTCTTTTCTTAGGTTACTAATAAAGGAAAAATCAAAAGCCTAAGTCAAGCAGACCTCAAGGACTCCAGAAGTTTTTGAGCATGAAATTGCTTTACTTTTTCAGCCATGCCTTGCTCCTAAAATTATAACATAGAACTCATACTTCCTATACACATACAAACATTAAATTAACACAAGTCACCTCACAATCGTGACAACTCTTTACCGTGATTGAAAAGCATAATTGGAGTAGTTTGCTCGGTATTTTCACACTACTGACCTGCGATGGCAAGTGAGACTTCAGAACTGCTCAAATGCAGTGGAAAATCTTTCTAATTTTTGAAAAAATTTGTTTCTGAATTGATGCCAGCTGATTCTGACTCTCCTGGCAGTCTCATATTTACATACTGCATTTAAGCTTTAACTTTGGGTAAAGTTGTCCACAATAAAAGCACGGAGAAGCATTTCTCACGTGACACCTTCCTGCCCTGGGCAATTTCATTCATTTCCAAACACTGTTACCTTAGTAACATCTTGTTCAAAGGGAAATGGATTCTCCTTTGCTTTTGAAGACCTGGATTCTTAGTGAAGGACTCCTTTCTTGGACATTTTAAACATTATTTCATTAAAGTCTGGTACAAATGCAACTTCGATGAATGCATCCTTTAATTCAAATCAGAGGCTTTAACACCCTCATAAATAGTGAGTAGATAATCACATAAGTAACCACGCTGAAAAAGAAACACAAAATTCTAGCCAGGCCTGCTTCTTACCATCTGCTTCCCGGGCTGCTCACAAATGCTCAGGTGAGAAATCCGCTGAATGGAGAAAGTTCTTCCTCTTTCACACTCCTGTTTCTACCAGATTAACCTCCAAAACTCAACTGCTTTATAATTAAAATCTGTTCTTTTCAAGACAGATAACCCATGTGTAGCTCTCTAGGCATGTAAACATTTGAAACTGTCATTTTACATAGAAATATATTTTTAATATTTCTTAATGGTGTAAACGCCCAGGGAAAAGACTATTGACTATTGGCTTCCACCATTGTTCACACTGTTAGAAAATGAGTTGTTTTAAGACAGGTTAAGTAAATAGAAGCTAAAATTTGTAAGTTTTAATACAGTGGACTGTTTTAAATTTCTTTGGTCCAAGGGAAAGATAACGGACACAAAAAGAGGCCAAAATTTTATAAGTTGTTTTAACATGATAACTTCTATTTTGAAAACAATTTTCAAGGGACTCTGGAAGTTTTACAAACATGCCATATATATATAATATATATTATATATATGAATTCTGAGCTCTTAAGAATGAACATTTAGAATCCAGTTAGCTATCAAAAAGATCTTTACTTTCCTTTTGAAAAGTACAGTTCCTCTCTAAAAACATTTGTGTATGGGTAATGTATATTAATAGAAATACATAGTGAATTTGCATTTTGACAAGCCAATTTACATACAATTAATTATCTTACCAAATATGCAAAGTTTATTAAAGCAGGCAAGTGAGGCAATCTATACTCTTCTTACCTCAAGTGGAGATCTTATTCAGACATCCACACACAGGATTGAGCTCAGAGCCTCCTGGAACATACTAATCTTCTGTTTCCCAGGATGACTACATCACCTTGGCCTCACCCATAAATGTTTCTAGAAATTCTGGTGGTTATAGGTAACATCTTTACATAGGGATCCTTACATATGGAATACTATCATAATGGGCAGTAAATACAATAACGAGATCATTGTTTAATTTTTGGGCTGTCACAACAACTCTCAAAATAGAAAATATAATCTCATTAACACAACAGCATAATTTGCAAAGGGAGGGGGAGGA